TTTATTTATTTATAACAACTTTATTTGCATCAAAAATATACCAAAAATTTACATGCATATTTATAAGCATATAAGTGCGATGTAAGTAACCTGAACAGACGCCTCTTAAACATACTAACACTGTCTGCTTCAACAATATTTTGCGGTAAGGAATTCCAGTCATCAATGTATCTGTGCCAAAAAGAATACTTAAGGATATTTGTACGTCCGTAGGGTTTCTAGATGTTGTAACTGATAACTATTAGAGGATCTTGTGCCGCCGGTAATTTCCGAGTTTTACGCTAGAAGAATAACTATTAGAGAAGACTTCGATGTACTTAAAAAGCTGTGCAAGATGCGGTAAGAAATCTCGACGGGTCTAAGCTTAGACGGTCTTTCGTCACTGAAGCAATGTCATTATATTATGTTAGCTTATGCTGGGAGACTGCCGGCGATGCATGTTTCATCTGATGACTCTAGATACGGAGCCTTTAAGTTACAGTCAAACCTGTATTACGCGGACACCCTCGGGACTCGTGCTAGTGTCCGCTCAATACAGGGTGTCCGTTGAAAACAGGTTCCCTCAGAATTCGTTTTGAAAGGGCCATATTAATATTCGTCAGCATCAAGACCTTGAAAGGGTCAAATAGCATTCTTGTGAACGGTCAAGAACTCTGAAATACCGTATTTCCATAAACAATGACAAGTATATGAGGTAAAGCGATTCAAGTATACAATAACAGTATCTATATTGATCGAATCATGTGACGGTTTACAAAATCAAACAAGAGAAAGAGTTCTGTAAAAACGAAACCGAATAACAAAATATTGCATTTCTGTTACAGCTCAGTTTGTTGGCAAACTTAAATGACCGATCTACTAAAACGTGGACAAAAAAATCATGCATTCTTTTTGCAGTGTCCGTTTGATACAGTTTTCTAACAATCAGAAATGACCATCAAAGTCAAGTTAAAGATGTCCGCGTCCGCTTTATAGAGGAGTCCGTTGAATACAGGTATTTTCTACAGTGAATGTGGGAAAAGAAAAATGGGACTTGCACTGCTATCCGCTTAATAGAGGATGTCCGCTTAACATGGGGTCCGCTTAATACAGGTTTGACTGTACTTGTGTGGAATTCGACTACATCACATGATATGTGTTTGTACTTGCTGTTTTCTTCCCTAGGACATATATTAAACGGCATCCTAATAAGAAACAAGTTTTCGTTCTAAGGCTTCAAAAATTAAAAGTCATTATAGTCAATCCAGAGTGCGCTACTGAATTCTTTACGTTCTTCTATCCAAAAATAAAAGCAACGCTTAAGTGGGAAATCGCAACGTTTCGATGCAATAATCAAGCAATAGAGCGCTTTTTCCGTGTTTACATAGCCTCATCTAAATACGAGGAGGGCTAGGAGAATTCGAAACAGTCATAGTCGAGCGTTTGCATAATTTTCGAGAATTCTCCCAGTCTCCCCTCCTCGAGTGTTTAGATGAGGCTGTGCAAACATGGAAAAAAGGCACTATAGCAAAGATATCAGTGACGTCACCTATTGTTATTAATATGCCAACCAGAGAACTATTGGTTGGTGAAACAAAGAATTCTTTTGTTTAACGTTTTGAACATTTAAATGACAAAAACAATGTTTGTAAACAAATATCTTCGCTATTGCTTTTAATAAAGCCTAAAAGCGGAGCTCCTGGACTGGGTCGTTCAAAGTCCGATTAAGATAACCCAGGTTAAGGGAATAATCTCAAAATGCACAAAACAAAAGTAGTGAAAAATATCTTTGTACTGACAAGAAAATATTATACTTCTTCCGAAGAAAAAACACGTGACGTCAGTGAGCTCGTAACTTGAGCCCGCGATATGGTGATATGAAATTGGTGCGCAGATACCTTGTCTTGACAGGTGTCAATTGACAATAACATGGATGTCCAATATCAAAGAACGAGGCTATAAATCAAGGCTGCATGTCTCTGCCAACCTATTAGCTGAAGTATGGCCGTCACCTTGCGCGTCGTTACCGTCGCCGCGCCGAACATAACGGTCAAACGTCGGACATGCGCAAATGGGGACATATTTTGGCAGCCGCGCGCCAATTTCCCGCGCAAAAATTTGAAGGAAAACATGGGAAACAACCGGTG